TTCGCCCGGTGTCAGACCGGACACATGGCAGGTCACCAGGTACTGCACGAGTTGCGTGAGACCGATGAGGGGGAAAGAGACAGGGACCGATGCGAGGTACTGTATCGATGGACGCTGGGACGCCCCAGACAACCACGAAAGAACATCTAGGCCATGGACAAAGTATGGCGTGGAGTTTTGACCGGCAGCCAACGGCGTTAGGACTTCAGAGACAACCGTTTTCAAAAAGGGGGCGACAAATGGCTGGTAGATGTCGTAGAGCGACTGAAGCTCGTCGAAATATACCTCGTTCGTGCCCTGACCTCCGAAAAGTGCGAAAACGGAGGCCGTCTTCGCAGTAACCGAGGATAACAAGGCTGGTCGAGGAGATGAGGGGATGTCGGCGACCTTGAGCTCACGCAGCGTTGCGAGAGCGAGGTAATAGGAGCTCAGGATCGTCTTGCGCACTTCGAGATCGTACGATGCCGCGAGAGAATGGAGATCGCGAGCGTCGAGGTACGCTGCGGTGAAGTGGGCGAAGACCGTGAGGAGAAGGGCGGTCCTGGAAGTGGCGGATTCGACAGATGTATTCACTTTTCGCGCAACGAAGCCGAGGAAACGAGCATGGAGCTCGATCGTGGCTTCAGCCTCGTTTTCTAAGGAGGCAGTGGATTCTATGCTGTCTGTGGTCGCTTGCTCTTGCGCGAATTCATCTCTGAGGACCTCTGCGCAAATCCATTCATCGGTGGAGGTAGAGACCGGGATCGATACCTGCCAAAGAAACGTGTTTCAGCGAAAGGAAGACCGTACATGCTTCACATGCGTGTATGCATGCAGGAGAGTGCCAAAGACGGAGACGCACCCTGAGCTGTCCCGCAGAGACAACGATGGGGCGCAGCATGATTTGAGACGTCCCGCCGATGGATGCCATCGTGGTAGAGAACAGGGCTCTATAAACCCCAACTCAGTACCCCAACGGATTGAAATTTTGTCGAACGCACGTGATCTACATCTCATTAAGACAGACACGCGCCCGTACGCGAACTTGCTCCCGAGAGTGTTCACGCAACCAGATGCACGTGTAGATACAATTCCCCCGTGGACTGGCGACGGAAGGGTAAGGTATGGGTCGTTCTCAGTCGAAAACGCGCTACTCGCGAGTGACGCGTCGGTTCCTTGCCCCATTTGGAACGCAGGGCACTGACCATCATCGGCGTAAGTCATGGCGCCGAAGCCCAATGAGCTTGGGCTTTGTCAAGATTGTAAGCATACACACGACTCCCCAGACTTCGGCAAACCATCTGTGCCACAACGACGGGCCCCAACCCCAAGCCATAGCACAACACTCACCATCAGCCATTCTGATTGGCACGGGCCTAGACTCCGCAAGTCCAGTGGCCCGGCTTCGTCCACCGTGCACTTCTTGCAACGTGTTCAGCGCATAGGAAGTGAATGTATCATATAATTGAGCATGTTCAATTGTACATAGGAGGTTTAGGGAATTCCAAATAGTGAAATGAGTGGATAGCTTACCAATAGTGCAGGCTGATACAGATCCACTTGTCCATCACTCTGCTTCCTTACTGGGTATTGTGTGATTGAGGGGTCTTGTGAGGAACGGCTTCGGAGTTTGAATTTTTGATAGCACGTGGCCTGTTGTGTTGGGAACAGAGAAAATGATTGAGTGGCTGTGTTAATTGGATCACTATATAGCTTCCGGATTTGTGCTAGCATGTTGATATCAGGTTTTGTCTCTGCCACTGGCTAGCACATTTGTCACAGCATCGCCACCCGCCAATTCCCTGATCCCCGGCCCTCCCATCTGGTGATTGGAGTGCGAGTTGTCCACGCCCAGTGCACTCTTGCGATTTTGAAGCAATGAAATGCTGAGGGCGCGCTCACAAGTGCACCTGCCCTGCCCGAATATAGCAACCAATCGGTTGGCGTGATCAGATGTCTACCCGCCAACCAATTGGTATGCTTTCAGGCTCATTCTCATACCCTCCCTTAATACTGCTCAATACCTCTGAACAAATGACTTTGTGCTCAGCGCGAACATTGTCCTCGGCACATCGGCACACCATCACCCCCCGGTTCCGACCTTCTGACGTCCCAATACATCCCGAGTTTCCTGATGATGTCTTCTCATCACCTGTCAACGTCGTTGTCACCGCCAGCCAGACGCCGCCGTCCGCCGCCCCGCCGCCCCGCCGCGCGCCTTTACTCATTATAGTCTTATGTAATAAAATTTTAGTAATCTACTAAGTAGCCACGCCAACCAATGATGGGTCAATCTTAACTTTCACAAGATCCAAGGGCGGACATGGCGCCGTGGGCGCCGCACTGGGTGGTGCAGAGATGGGATCAAAGTGCGGACATGATGCAGTGGGCGCTTTGGCAGGGCTACATGAAAGTGCCACGGAGGGCCGCAGATGTCACACTGGAGTGCCGCAGCAACCTTATCTCTGCAGCACCTCTGGAGAGCATCACAGGTATATCCGACATTATCTGTGCCAGTCAATCCCTGATGTATTGAAATGGATTAGTCAAATTTCAATAGAATTGAATATGTAGATGTCCCAAAAGCCTGTCTTTAGATCATAGGTCTCTATGATGCCTAAGTGATTGTCTTGAGCTCATTAACCACCGGAAGGGTGGACTTGACTTAAAATTATGGAGAGCATTTTTTTATTACAAAGATACTCCAAAGAGTTTTGAATACCAACTCTTGTATACAATTCAAGTTCAAAATGAATACCAAACAAGTTATACACATTCTAGTGAACATGAATCCAGGAGGTATTGTTTTGATATTTTGGTGCTGGTGAATGCCTCTAACTATTGTATAAACCAATAGATGTAAAGTATAGATCATCTTCAATTTCACTCTGGGCTCTGCAATGAAGTGGACTCACAAGAGTGAGTAAAAATGGCCATTCAGAAAGCTATTGAACTACATTGATGGGACATCAGTGCCGCCGGCCCGCAAGGACCATTGCTCAGAAACATAGGTGAAAATGCATCAGCCTGGCAATCATTCGTTCTGGTGCTTTCAATGAAATTATCAAAATATGTACATTTAAGTATCCTGCCTCGTAGGTTGCTGCGGCACTCCAGTGTGACATCTGCGGCCCTCCGTGGCACTTTCATGTAGCCCTGCCAAAGCGCCCACTGCATCATGTCCGCACTTTGATCCCATCTCTGCACCACCCAGTGCGGCGCCCACGGCGCCATGTCCGCCCTTGGATCTTGTGAAAGTTAAGATTGACCCATCATTGGTTGGCGTGGCTACTTAGTAGATTACTAAAATTTTATTACATAAGACTATAATGAGTAAAGGCGCGCGGCGGGGCGGCGGGGCGGCGGACGGCGGCGTCTGGCTGGCGGTGACAACGACGTTGACAGGTGATGAGAAGACATCATCAGGAAACTCGGGATGTATTGGGACGTCAGAAGGTCGGAACCGGGGGGTGATGGTGTGCCGATGTGCCGAGGACAATGTTCGCGCTGAGCACAAAGTCATTTGTTCAGAGGTATTGAGCAGTATTAAGGGAGGGTATGAGAATGAGCCTGAAAGCATACCAATTGGTTGGCGGGTAGACATCTGATCACGCCAACCGATTGGTTGCTATATTCGGGCAGGGCAGGTGACAAGTGAATCTACTGTGAAAGTAAACCCAAATATAAACACGTTCACACTCCTTGTAATCAGCTTCTCAGTGTGTGAAAGATGCAAGGGCTTTGGGGCAAACAGAACACCAGAATCACAACTCTCAATAGACGCAAGATCCAATAGTCGCGGGAGTGTCATAGTTCGGCCACTTTTTCATCTTATCATCAACCATCTTATCTTATCTCGGCATGAATTATCTTATCACGGATCACAGCATCTGACGGTCCGGGCTGGGGGTCTGGGGATTATCTTTATTGATTCAAGGCTGCGCGACATATGCTCCAGAAGGTTCTACTACAACCCATGACCAGTGCTCCATGCGGTACATAGCCTTATGACTCATTAGGTGTAGATATGACTCAGACTGAATTTGGGTATAAATACTGTAGCTACTTGGTTGTATTCTCCAGTCTTTGAATTCACTTCTCTTTTCAACATTATTTCTTGTTGATTGTCACATAATTTGAAGACTCCCCTCATACCCTCGTACCTCTTACCTCCTACCCTGCATCCTGCACCGCTATGCCTGCTATATCTTCTCCACCCTTATCATCTCACTCACCCTTTTACCGAATCATCTAGTCGTTCCCTGCGATTGCAGTGAAGGGTTTATCTTGAGCAAACAGCACCAGGCCATGGGTAACGTTGAGCCCGACCCAAGCCTTACGGTAGCTACAAGGAGTGCTGCGGAGACCTTTGGGAAAACGCACCTCAGGATCATTGGGCACGTGAAGAGCTAGGCCCAGGATCTTTTTGCTAGCAAAAGAACCTTTCCTCGAGTGCTTGTACAGCACACGAATCCACCATTTTGTTCCGATTCCCATCATCGTCCGGGAGTCCGGCTCCTCCTCCCATCCTACCATTGTTGCCCGATCTGGCGCACCAAAACCAACCCGGACCCTCCAATCCCTACCTCGCCCTCCCACTGCCTGAAGACAAGATCCCTGACCTTGACAAGTTGCCCTCCGAACAACCACCCTCACCCACACCTTCTACACCTGCTCCTACCATGTCAGGACACCACCACATCACCCTTGCCACCAACCCCCCCTGTTTCGATGGAGACAAGTCCAAATATATGGGCTTTGTGGACTCGTGCACCACCTACATTGGTGCCTATTGGTTGGAATTCTTGCAGGATGAGACAAAAATTCTCTTCATCCTCTCCTACCTCTGCAACGAGGCTGGCACAAGCTGCGCCGCCTCGAGATAGGCAATGAACTGGAAGCAGCGCAACTTTGAAAGCCTCAATGGACTGAAGGCTGGGGTCACCTCAATGACCTTCTTGGAGGAGCTTCAGAGGGCCTTTGGGGACTCCAACGCGGAGCAAGTTGCCGCCACTTGACTCATGGCCCTGCGCCAGAACAAACGATCCTTTGCGGATTATATCTCCAACTTTGAGATGCTGGCTGCGGACGTGGGGTACAATGTGGTCACCACCACCAATGACAAGGGCGAGTACAAGAAGGGGGATCAGGACAACATCCTCATCAAGTTCCTCAAGCGCGGGCTGAGCAGCAAGATCGCAAGTCGCCTCTACAACACTGGTGTCCCTTTGCCCAAGATGTATGGTGCCTTCAAGGACTGGTATGTCAACATCGAGGCAAACTCTCTGCGCAATCAGCTGCGCAAAGCATCGCATGGGCACTCCACGCCACGACCACCTCCCCAATTTCGCCCTCAGGCAGCCCCAACAACGCCTGCACCTGCTCCAACCCGACCCACTGCCAACAAACCGGTTCCGATGGAAATCAATTGCACCCATGCCTGGGGCCGCAGTATCATTTGTTACAACTGTCAGCAGCCTGGGCACATCGCGCGGAACTGCCCAGAGCCAAGGAAGAAGCGCACGTTCTTCAATAGGGCCACAATGCTTGAAGAGATCAAGAACGGGGACAAGGACAACAAGTTCCTGAAGGAGATTGCTGAGAAACTGCGCGAGAAGGGTTTTTGAAATGCTCCACTCCTCTAGCCAAGGAGGTGGAGCGTCCGGACTATGGACGATTTTCTGTACTTGTTTCAATTAAAGATATGAACAATTCTCCTCATACATACACAATCAGACTCATTACATACCAATATCCACGATTTTCTCATTGCTGATATGGAAAAAGAACGCCAAAGAAAAATAGCTTTAAATAGAGAGTATTTACAGAGTAAAAAGGATCAGAAGGCTGCAGATAAATTAATTTTGGACTCCTACGTATTTATGGCTCGTGGAGAAGGACCCACGTCAACAAAGACCAAAAAGGGGAGCATCGCTCTGGAGGCTCAATCCTTGAAAAAGGAGGAAGCGCCTAAGGAGTCTGCTGAAATCAAGGTTCCAGAAGCACCCAAACGCACAAGGGTGCCAGATGCCGTCCAGAGGAAATTGGCGGCCGAGAAACAGAAGGGCTCCCAGCCCAGCAGACTGGCGCAGGAATTGCGCAACCACCAGGCCAAAAGGAAGAGGCATTCGATGGACGTATATGTCCAGATCACGGGCCTGGACTCAGGAAAGATGCACAGAGTCAAGGCGCTACTCAATAGTGGCTGCAGTACCTGCTGCATCAATACTGATTACGCACGGGCAGAGAAACTGGACATCCAAGAACTTTCACAACCCATTGTGGCTTGTAATGCCAACAACACCGAGAACATCAGTGGTCGGATCATGCATTACATCGACTTGAGGATGAGAATCAGCCCTCATGTGGAGACATGCACGTTCCTTCTGACGTGCCTGGGAAAAGCTCAAATCTTCATCGGCCTTGATTGGCTGACAGAACACAACCCCGAGGTGGATTGGCAGGAGCAGACAATGAGATTCAGCCGATGCCCAGAGCGGTGTCACATGAGAGGTCACGAGGAGCATCAAGCAATGATCGACATGGATGCAATCAACCTGGACATGGGCGCACCGGATCTGGAAGAGGGAGAATCGATCCTGTTGGTCGACTTTGGGAAGGAAGCGGATCTACAACTGAAGGAAACACCGGCACAGAAATTTGCAGAAGAAGCGGAAAAGGAGAAGGAGAGAATGACCGAAGGGAAGATTCCAGATCAATACCGGGAATTTGTCAAAGTATTTGCCAAGGAATTGTTTGACTCACTGCCGGATCAACGAGCATGGGACCACGCAATTGAGCTCAAACCGGGTTCCAAAGCAGTGGACTGCAAGGTCTACCCATTATCGCAAAATGAGCAGGTCAAACTGGACAAGTTCCTACAAGAAAACCTGGCCAGTGGGCGGATCAGGCCATCAAAATGACCCATGGCATCGGCGTTCTTCTTTGTCAAGAAGAAAGATGGCTCACTACGACCTGTCCAGGATTATTGGAAGCTGAACAAGATAACGATCCAAAATCGATACCCGCTGCCACTGATCTCCAAACTAGTCCATAACCTTTGCAGTGCCAAGTTCTTCACGAAGCTAGACATCCGGTGGGGATACAACAATGTACGGATCAAAGAGGGCAATGAGTGGAAGGCTGCGTCCGCACAAATTGCGGGCTGTACGAGCCCTTAGTTATGTTCTTTGGCCTCACAAACTCCCCGGCAACCTTCCAAAACATGATGAACGACATACTCCAGGAACTGATCAACAAGGGTCACGTGGTAGTCTATCTTGACGATATATTGATCTTCACAGAAACCTTGGACAATCATCGGCAGATCACAAAGCGAGTACTTGAATTGCTCCAAAAACACAAGTTGTACCTGAAACCCAAAAAGTGCGAGTTTTAATGCATGGAGATCAAATATCTGGGGGTAATTATTGGACACAATTTGATGTAGATGGACCCAGTCAAGATCAAGGGTGTGATGGAATGGCCTGAACCAAAAAGTGTCAAACAAGTCCAAGCATTCCTGGGGTTCACCAACTTCTATTGACGCTTTGTCCGGGGATACGCGGAGGTTGCCAAGCCATTGACACGACTGACAGGGAAGGCAGGATGGTCATGGGGTATAGATGAGCATGCAGCATTTGATGGGTTGAAGAAGAGAATTGCAGAGGATGCGGTCTTAGCACTGCCAAATGACACTGGCCAATATCGTCTGGAAGCCAATGCTTTGGAAGGGGCAACAGGATCCGTTTTGAGCCAAAACCAAGATGGCATTTGGCGCCCAATCGCGTTTATTTCACACACATTGACCGAAACTGAGTGAAATTATGAGATCTACGACAAGGAAATGCTTGCAATCATGTTATTGCTTGACAAATGGAGGCAGCTGCTCCTAGGAGCCATGGAAACGTTCGAGATCTTCACCATCCATCAGAACCTTGAGTACTTCTGGAAGCCACAAAAGCTCAACTGACGACAAGCACAATGGATCACAGAATTGGCAGAATTCAATTTCACCTTACGACACCGGCCCGGTGCTCTCAACCGCAAAGCAGACCTCTTATCACGACGAGCAGATCATGATCAGGGCAAGAACAACAACAAGGACGTCACACTACTGAAGCCCAAGTTCTTCCGATCACAAGAAGTCATATTTGAAGGGCAAGATCAGCAGCTGATTGATGAGATCAAGGCCCTTCGATTGATTGATGGAAGCGTCAAGGCAGCCTTGGAGAAGTCACTTGTTGGATGGAAAAAGGAAGATGGGCTTATCACGTATCATGGGAAGCTCTATGTACTGAGGGATGAGGAGCTACAGGACAAGATCATTGGGCTACACCACAACATGCCTTTGGTTGGGCACGCTGGGATCAACCAAACACAGGAGATGGTGGAAAGGAATTACTGGTGGCCAAGGATGGGGAACCAAATTCGGAAATACATCCAGACGTGCGAGGCATGCCAACAGACAAAGACCAGGAGAGCAAGGACAGGGACTCTACACCCGCATGCAGTTCCAAACGCGCCCTGGGAAATCATCTCCATGAATCAAATTGGACCCTTACTGGTCAGTAATGGGTATGACGCAATTCATGTGTGGTGTAACACCTTCACAAAAATGATCCACGTTGAACCAATTAGTACTGACATCAGCAGCAAAGGGGTCGCACGGTTAACCAGGGACCGAGTCTTCCACTATCACGGGATCCCTCGCAAGATCATCACCAACAGGGACTCACGATACATCAAGGGCTTCATGAAGGAGACGAATCGGTGAAATGCTGAGGGCGCGCTCACAGGTGAGTCTACTATGAAAGTAAACCCAAATATAAACACGTTCACACTCCTTGTAATCAGCTTCTCAGTGTGTGAAAGATGCGAGGGCTTCGAGTGGACAGAGCACCAGTATCACAACTCTCAATAGATGCAGATCCAGTAGTCGCGGAAGACAAAGTCGACAACAAGAATATATATATATAGCAAACAGTGGTGTCTCAACCAATATCTTCTATACAAACAAAACCAACACTAATCCAACCACAACCAACAATATCACAAGTCAGAGCTTAATACAAAGTATCAAGATCCCTTGTAGCGACAGCGTCCAGATGGCAATGCAAAGCCCAAATATCAAGTCGACACACTGCCAACCAATACAACCAAAATACTGAGTTGACGCACTGCCAACTAGTAAACCAAAATGCTGCATCGATGCACTGCCAACTAACAGCCAATATCCAATGTCCAAAACCCAAGCACAACTTGTCGACGCACTGCCAAGCAAGAAGTGTGGAACCAAAGTTCTCAAGTCGATGCACTGCCAACTGGCCAAAACAACCTGAGCACAACTAGTCGATGCACTGCCAAGCTAGAGGTGTGGAAACGATCTCAACAAAGCCCAAAGGCGACGACACTAAATGCCGCGACTGAAACCAGATGTGGCGAATCCGACTTTCTGATGTCTCAACTCAAAACTCAAATCACAGTAGCTACAAGTGCTCAGGGAGCAACTCGTCGCGACTGGGCAGGGGTAACAGAACTTCTTAGAGTGGAATCACGCGACATGCAAATTGCACAAAACAATCTGATATGAGTATGATTCACAGTCCGGGGGAAGGCCCCCAATACAAAGAAACGACGTGCTACTTATACTGTCTACAACGATGCTTAGTAAAGTCCTGTACAACTGCATAGTAGCTATGCTATCTAAGATCGGTTGCTTTTTATGGTAATGAAAAAGTTGAACGATCGGACAGGTCCTGACTGATCAGGACCCCGCCCCATTGTCCATATGGTACTTTTGATGTGGGTCAACCCACCGCGTCATACTTTTGGAATACGACGTGCTGGATTGGCCAACTGGTATGTCTTGGCGGGTGAGTCCAACGTGGGTGCCTCAAGAAGCCGTATGGTCCTAGGCACGCCAGTCGTTCCTCACATGGTTCGGTTCACAAATCTAGCCCATGTCGGTTTTAGTGTGTTTGGGTATGGGCACAACTCGTCGTGACACTTGGAAGTGTCACCGCAACGTGTCCACAATGTCCCGTGATCGAGTGAATCCTGACATGTGACAAGTCGTTGCCGTGGCATGATCTGAGGAAACGTGCAACCCAAAACCGGGAGTTGCCGCAACAAGATTGGTTCAATCTTGTAACGCCAAGTCCTGCCCAGTAGTAGTTGTAATATTGAGAACGTCGCGCATTGCTCAGCCCTTCAGCCCAAGTTCCCATCTGCAGAGAATGACCCTTTTGAGAAGTCGCCACAACAAAGATCCCTTTTTGGGGAATTGTCGCGGTCCAAGCATTTGTCACTAATAGCCCTGAGCCTGGTGTGGACTCATAAGGCCAATTCCACAGTAGTGGTCTGACTGCCTTGCTATCATCGACACTATCCACAGTCGTCGACTGGGCAGTAGACCCTTAAGCCCTACTGAGCACAACACTGTCAACCGCGACACAATACACCAAATGGTTCAAGAGTAAACTCTGTAAAAAGCGCAAAAATACGCCCTTACAGAGCTGGTGCAGAGTGCGTCTGGTAGCCAGCCTATCACCGTTTGCCCATCCGTGATCGGCAAACGGTGTAGCCAGCCTATCATCGGATGTTGGGCGTAGAAATGAACCTGGGA